CTTCTTTCCCAGGATTGAACTTTAAAGACCTTTTGCACAACAGAGCACCTCCCAATGGGAAGGTGGGGTTGCTTAGCAATCAGACTTTAGAATCAAACCAGATAGGGGCACTGGGGATGGTTGATGAGAGGGGATGTGGTGTGAGGGACCCTGCGACACAGCTGAGTTCAAGACTTGATTAAGGTCTTGCAGGTGTGAGGCTTGGGGTCGTCTAGGCTTTCTAGGGGTTGGGTGGGTGGGTCTTGCAGAAGCTAGTTAGTGACTGAGGGGTGTTGTGCTATCACAATAGTAGAAATTATTTTGCTTCTTTTGGCCTATTTTGCATGATAGACAGGGTGATTTGGCTATTCTGGGCAGTGGATGGTGGAGTTTGGTTTGTTCTGGACTCACAGCAAAGCAGATTTTTACCCCTAGTTCTTGCCTTGTGATGGTATAAGGAAAAGGGTGACATTAATCTCTAGCTCAGCAGTTCTCAACCTGTGGGTTGTGACCCCTTTGGGGGGGTGTCAAATGACCCTTTAACAGGGGTCGCCCAATTCATAACAGTAGCAAAATGACAGTGATCATTTTATGGTTGGGGGGTCACTATAACATGAGGAACTATATTAAAGGTTCGCAGCATTTGGAAGGTTGAGAACCACTCCTTTAGCTACTTCAGGCTGAGTTGGGGTGACATCCTCCTAGAGGGCAGGAGAGCAGCTAAGTGATAAGTACTTGGCTTGAGAAATGAGTAGAAGCATCTGAGAAGCTAACGAAGTGGGGGCTGCCTTTAAGTGGTTAGATCAGAAATAGGAGAAGAGTTGTATTAGGAAGGGGGTGCCTGTTAATAGTACAGAGAAGGTTATGAGGGGGGCAAAGGTGGGCACGAGCCAACGCTCCCACAGGGAGTTGGTCCATGAAGAGTTTTCGAGTTCACTAGGGCAGCTAATTCCTTCTCACAGTTGGGGGTTTTCTTCTCATACAAATTCTGACATGTTATAGAACCATCAGGTTCCTATGGAGAGGTAAGGGAACTGCTCTGTTTGAGAGAATGTTGTGGTTGTGTAGTCAACTTGGCATTGTAGGGTACTTGGTTGGTCAGATATGGTAGTTAAACTATCCACCAGAGCTTCAGCTAAGAGCTTGAGTCTGTCATGCTAAGCCTGTTTAAGCCTATGCTCAAAATTGTGTTGAAAGGCATTGACAAAAACAATGAGGTGATTTCTTTTTCTGAAAAATAATATATTTTGTCTCACAAATGCAGCTTTTGCTTGAGCCTGAGAGTTCAAGATTCACCCTGAACATAGAACATGTTTAAACATGTCTCTGTGATCCTACAAGCACTCTTAGGAACACACTTGTATTAGTCCCCATAGGGTGCCTTTAAAATAAATAAATGAATGAATGAATAAATAAATAAATAAATAAAAGGTAGGAGTTGGTCCAAACAAAATGTTATCTTCCAGAGGGACCTGTTGGCCAGTTCAATTCAAGGTGGAGAACTTAGCTCACAAGTTGATGGTGACTATTTTGCGGGATTCTCAAAGGATAATATTTATAGATTTTCTCCAAGAACATAGGACATTCACAAGAGCTTATTTGGAAGAATTTTCAAGAAAACCAAAAATGATAAGACCAAGACCAGGAAACATTGGTGAGAAAAAGGCCAGAAAAACTGTAACAAGGAAATTTTTATTTTAGGACAATGTATCTGCTCATTCAATGAGAACGTTTTGGGAAATCTTACCCCATCCACCTTTCAGACTGATTTTGTCCTTTTACATATCTTGTGTTCCCCAAACTCAAGGGATATTGACAATGAACACAGTTTGTGTCCCTCCAGTGTGCTAAAACTGCTGTTTGATGTGCTGTAAGTCAAAAAGCACAGGATTCTTTAGGGGAAGAGTTCAAGAACTCCAAACTCAGTGCCATCGAAAAGCTTCTGATGCACTGTGACCCTAGAGGGTAGAGTGGAACTGCTCCTGTGGGTTCCAAGACTATACAACTCGGTAGATGACTAGAAAGCCCCATGTTTCTCCCTCAGGGCAGCTGGTGACTTCAAACTGCTGACCTTGCAGTTGGAGGCCCAATGCATAACCCTTACTCCATCAGGGCTTTTATGAGGACGGGTTGAAGAGATAGAAACACTGCCTTCGAAGAGTATCATCATAAACGTAGACAGATATGGGGAGGGGGTGGTATGTTGAGAAACAATAGCTTCACATATGATCATTTTGTTTATTAAAAGTTTCTATGATTTTTGTAACAATGACTTTTTATATGCCTTTGATGACAAGCAGAACAGACCATCAACTGCTCATATGCAAGTTCAAGTTGAAGCTGAAGAAAATGAAATGAGTTCATCAGAGCCTAAGTACAACATGGAAGGTTTTCCACCTGATTTTGGAAACCATGTCTTGTTTAATGCAATGAATACTAATGACAGAAAATCAGACAACTTGTGGGATGACATAAAGACTCCATCAATTAAAACAAAACAAAAACAAAGTCTCACTGAAATGGGAGAAAATGAATGTTAAATATATGTCATAGAACACAGAACCGTGAGCAAAGTACATTGACTGTCCTTCAACCTTTTGGGGCATAGCTTATCATCAAGAACAGATTGTCTGGAAGGAAGATGTAAATGCTGACAGGCAGCATCAAAAGCATTAGTGAACCACAGGCCCCAGGTATTAACAGAACACCAATTGAAATGCTTGCATAAACAGACGTGATGTTGGAAGTGTTCTCTGGTGTATGCCAAGAAATGTGGAAAACAATTACGAGCCAAATGATGGGAAAAGATGCATATGTGGGCCCATTGCAGCTAAGTTGATACAGCACAGTGTAGAATTTATACACTAGTATTATTGTCGGAAATATAATTGTGCTTAAGATAATTAAAAAAATTTTACAATAACACATCAACATGGAATTGCCAGAAATTTAAATCAAATTCTGAAGCGGATATGGAATGAAGGACATCGTTGTTGCTGTCAGATGGATCTGTTCTGAAACCCATTGTTCGGAGCCATGGAGTTGGTTCTGACCCATAGCAACCCTATACAGAACACAAGGAAACACTGCCGAGTGCTGTGCTGCTCCATCCTCACTATCATTCCTGTGCTCCAGCCCACAGTTGTATCCACTGGCTCAGTCTGTCACCTGGAGGTCCCTCTACCAAACACGAAGTCCTTCTCCAGGTACTGGCCTATGCTGACAATGTGTTCAAAGTATGTAGCATGGAGGCCTGCCAGCTTTGCCTCCAAGCAGCACTCTGGTCCTACTTCTTCCGAGACAGATGTGTTTGTCCTTTTGGCAGTCCACAGAACTTTCACTCTTCTTCTCCAGGACCACAATTCAAATGCATCTGTTCCTCAGTCTTCCTACTTCAGTGGCCAACTTTCATATGCATATGAGGCAATTGAAAATACCATGGCTTGGGTCAGGAGCAGCTTAATCTCAAAGTAACTGCCCTGTTTTCTAATACTCTAAAGAGGTCTTATGCAACACATGTAGCGATTATGCAAAGGCATTTATTTGACTGTGCTGATAACACATTATGAATAATATTGTGAAGGAAGGGAATTTCCAGAACACTTTATTATATAACTCCATAGCAACTATCAACAAGAGCAAATGAAACAGAATTGTAACCTTGTAGGACTGCCTGGCTTTTAAGGGTCTTAAACATTCCCACCTTTGTGAGAATGTAGTCTGACCACTTTATCTCCCAATAGTTTTATTGACATATAATCTACATATAATACAATTGCATAGTTCAATTATTTAATTATATCAAGGGGAATTGTATAATCAGCACCACATATATTTTAGAGCATCTCTCTCCTCACCCCCAACTTGGATAAATCACCTTTAGTTTTAGTGCTCCCTCCCACCATCCTTCATTATTTACGCCCAGAATTCCCTCCCCCTCTCTGTAGCCACTCCTGCAGTCCCTATAACCCCTTGTATCAGAATCACAGACCTAGAGGCAATGGGTGGGAGTTCCAATCTCTCCACATCCTCTTCAGCATTTCTTGTCTGTTTTTTAAATTGGGCTGTCATTGTTGGTATAAGCTCATATTTCATTGCTGTTTTGATTTATATCTTTTTTGATGGATAATGATCGTGAGCATTTTTCATGCTAATTTGGATGTCATTTTTTTATGAACCGCTCATGCCCTTTGTCCACTTTTTAGTTGGATTACTTGTTGAATCTTTGTTTTTTTCTTATAAAGTACTGTAGTTTTGTATAAATTTCAGAGATTAGTCCTTTGTCTATTGTGTTGCTGCTAAACATTCTTTCCTAGTCCATGCCTCTCTTTCACTGTTTTAATGAAGTCGTTTGATGCACACAAGTGTCTTATTTTTGTAGGATTCAGGCATCTATTTTGTGTGCTTTTTGTTTATGTTTGATAGTATGTCTGTGCCCTACTGTAGGGCCTTAACATTAGTCTCTAAATCAAATTGATGGTCTTCATTGCTCTGGGATTTACATTTAGGTGTTGGATCTATCTTGAGTTCTTTTTCTGTACATGGGGTGAGGTATGGGTCTTCTTTTTCTGTTGCAGATACAGACCCAATTTCTTCAGCATCATTTGCTGAAAAATTTCTTTCCCATTTAATGTTTTTTGGTCCTTTGCTGAAGAGTACTTGCCTGTAGGTGGATGGATTTATTTCTGGGTTTCTACTCTGTTTCATTGGTCTATGTATCTATCATTGTATAAGTATGAGGCTGTTTTGACCATTTGGTTATGTAATAGGTTTTGAGGTTGTTGAGAAATCGCCTATTTTGTTCCTCTTTAGAAGTTTCATTGTTTAGGTGGGATCTCTTTCCTTACCATATAACATAGGTAATTACTTTCTCAATTTCTTTCAAGAATGGAATGAGTATCTGGATCAGAATTGTACTTAGAGATTGCTTTGGGTTGTAGTCACATTTTCACAATGTGAAGCCCTCCTATCCACGATGATGCATATTATGTAGGTCTCTTGTTTTCTTTAATTTTATTTTACAGGGGTGTGTGTGAGCAGAGTCCTCCACTGCCATGAATTATGTACTTGAGTTTCCCACATTTGGTGAAATCCCAGGAGTCACCATATCTGGAGTACAGTTGATAAGCCTTACCCTGAGAAAACTACCTTTGTGATCATGGTATCTCACCTCTTTCTTTTGTTTTCTTGTAATAGTATTTGCAGTTTGTTTAGAACAAGGCTTTTGTTTATCTGCTTAGGTTTTTCCTAAGTGTCTCATCTTCTGTGTGGCTATTGTAAATGGTATTGTTTCTTGATTTTTGTCAGAGCTTTCTTCATTAGTATCTAGGAATTGGATAGACTTTTGTGTACTAATCTTGGATCTGTATCATGTTGCCAAATATTTTGTTTCCAAGAAATTTACATCTAGGTTTTTTTCGTATTTTTTTTTTGATGGAGGGTTTCTACATGTAAAATCAAATTATCTGTAAATAGTGAGAGTTTCACTTTTTGCCTATTTTGCCCATTTGGATTTCACTGATTTTTATAGTTTAATTGTGCTTGTCTAATGGTTCTGGCTAAAGTTCCAGCACAATGTTGAAGAATGATGATAAGGAGAACCCTTATATGATTCCCATTCACAGGAGGAATACTTTCAGGGTTTCCACTTGGGGAGATTGGGTTTTCATATATGGTCTTTATTGTGCTAAGAAATTTCCCAGTAATTCTTATTTGGTTGAGTGATTTTATCAAGAAAGGTGTTGCCTATTGTCAAATGCCTTTTCTGCATCTATTGATACAATCATGTGGTTATTTTATTTATGTTGTGTTTATATGGTGGAATACATTTTTCTAATGTTGAGACATCCTTGCTTACCCTCTTGCTTGTGATGTATTAGATATGTACATTATATATATGTATGTATATGCATATATATCATTTATATAGTTGGATTCTATTGGCCAGACTTTTTTGAGAAGTCTGTCTTTGTGTTCATAAGGCATATTGATCTGAAGTTTTCAATCTTTGTTATGTCTGTGCCTGGGTTTAGTATCAGGGCTATGTTCGCTTCATACAATGAGTTCTGCAGTTTGCTCTCTTTTTGAATATTATGAAATAATTTGTGTAGAGCTGGTATCAGAATATCTGTGAATATCTGGAAGAATTCTCCAGAGAAGTAAACTGGTCCTGAACTTTTTTATTTGGCAAATTTTTAAAATGACCTGATCTTCTTATTTATGAGTCTGCTGAGGTTTCCTTTGTTAGTTTGTGTTAATTTGGGTAGATAATGTGTTTCTAGAAATTTGTCCATATCATCCAGGTGTTCAAGTTTTCTGGAGTACAGGTTTTCCTAGTAATGTGCTATTATTCTTTTTATTTAATGTGGTTCTGTTATAATGTCACCATTCTCATTTCTCTTCTTGATGTTCACATCTTCTCTTTATTTTTCTTTCTTAGGTTTACCAGTGGTTTGTCAATTTTGTAAAGCTTTTCAAAGAATCACCTTCTTGTCTGGATGACTTTTTCCTATTTCGTTTTTCTTCTGTTTTTCCAATTCACTTATTTGTGTCTTTATATTTTTGCTCATGGTGTTTAAAGATTTATTTGTTGCTCTTATCCTTGTGGATGAATATGCTGTGTCAAGGTGTTAGCCTTGGTTCTCTCATCTCTATTTCATATGGACATTGATTGCTATACATTGATTTCTGATCACTGTTTTTGCTGTATTCCAAAGGTTTTGGTATGTTGTGTTGTCATTCTCATTTATTACAAGGGTTTTAAAATTACTTTTTTAAAGTAGTGTATTGTTCAGTTCACTACTTTTTTTAAAGTAGCGTGTTGTTCAGTTTCCATGCGTTTGATTTTTACCTTTGTTCTTTTGATTGTTGCTGTCAGATTTTGTAGTGTGGTGGTCTGAGAAAATGGAGCATAGACTCTCAGTACTTTAAAATTTATTCAGGCTTCCTTTGTGAGTTCACATGTGATTTTAAAGGTCATCCTCCATGTGCACTAGAAAACAATGCGTGCTCTGCTGCTACTGAGTGGATTTCTCTGTACATGTCTGGGGTTGAGTTGGTTAATTGTATTTTTCAATTCTTCTGTATATTTAGTGATTGTCTTTCCTAATGATGTTTTCCTCAAGAGTGATATGTTGAAGTCTCCTACTATTATTACTGTATTATCCATTTTTCTCTTCTACTCACTCTAAGAGTTTCATTAACATATTTCCAGGGTCTTTCATTGGTATATGTATATATTTAGGATGGTTGTGTCTTCTTGTTATATTATTTACTCATTATGCAGTGTCATTTTATGTCCGTCATGGTATTTTTTTGCCTTGAAGGATATTTTACTGGAGATTAATATTCTGACACCTGCTTTTTGGGGGGGTTGCCATTAGCTTGGTAAAATTTCCCAATTCTTTGAGTATTCATCTATTTTTTTCTTGGTGTTTAAAGTGTGTTTCTTGAAGGCAGTATACTAATTGGGTCTTGCTTTCTTATCCAGCTTGCAAACCTCTGCTCTTGAGTGGCACACATAATCCAGTAGCATTCGACTTTGCTATTGCTATGTACTGGCTTGGGTGCTGCCGTTTCACTGTGTGATTTTATTTGGGGGATGGGGGATGTGTGGACATGTGCTTTCATTGGTCTGTTTGTTCTTCCTAGATTACTGTGCTGTTTTGAATTCTATTTTCAGTATGTTGACTTTTTCATGGTGCTGTCTTGTATGTTGATCTCAGGTTTGTGATTTTGTTGTTGATTTTCTTTCCAAATTGTATCCATTACAAATGTGAATAATGCTCATCTTGTTCCCACAAATTCCTTTAATGTCTGCTTATATGGAAGCACTCATAGTTCTCCCTCACATTTGAAGGATAGTTGTGTTTGATGTAAAATCCTTGGTTGACAGGATTGTTTAACTTTCAGGTTCTTACATGTGTTTTCTATTATCGTCTTGCCCTCGTGCTTCCTGTTGAAAAGTCTGAGTGTATTCTTAAAAGTTTTCTCTTATGGGTGACTCATTTTCCCCCCCGTAGGTGCTCTCAGCATTCTCTGCTTTTGGCTGATATTGTAGAATTTGATTGTGCTATCTCGTGATGTTTCTCTTTTGGAGCCTATTCTGTTTGGGGTTCTCTCAACTTCTTGAACATTTTTTCCTCGTTTATGATGTTAGAGAAGTATTCTTCCATGATTTCTTGTACTATGGTCGCTATGTTAAAAAATAATTCTGCTCCAGAACTCCAGAGGGTATAAATTGATCTCTTTGAAAGTGCCCCACACTATTCTTATGCTTTCTTTAGATTCCTCTGGTCCTTTTCTTGATTGTTTATCTCGTTCATTGTAGATTTCAGTCAAGAAACTGTCTTTAGGCTCACCAATTTGGTTTACCAGTAATTCAACTCTTTTACCATGTGATTGAAGTCTATTATCTTATTATTTATCTTCTGGAATGCTATTTGATATTTCCAATTTTTCTATTTTTTCCTGTTGTTTTCTGGAACATTTCCTTCTTCAAAGAGCATGGACAAGTGAATGATGGGGGGAGTGCGGAGTGGAGATCCAAAGCACATTAGTAGGCCACTGGAGATCCCCTTGCAGAGGGGTCTCGGGGAGGAGATGAGCCAGTCAGGGTGCAATGTAACAATGATGAGAAATACAACTTTCCTCTAGTTCCTAAATGTTTCCTCCCCGCTCCCACTACCATGACTCGAATTCGATCTTGCAAGTCTGGCTAGACCAGAGGAGGTACACTGGTACAGATAGGAACTGAAAATACAGGGAATCCAGGACGGATGAGCCCTATAGGACCAGTGGTGTGAGTGGCAAAACAGGGAGGGTAAAGGGAGAATGGGTAGGAAAGAGGGAACCGATTACATGGAACTGTGTGTGACCTCCTCCCTGGGGGACAGACAACCGAAAAGTGGGTGAAGGGAGACGTCGGACAGGGCAAGATATGACAAAATACCCATTTATAAACTATCAAGGGCTCATGCGGGAGGTGGGAGCGGGGAGGGAGGGGAAAAATGAGGACCTAATGTCGGGGGTTTAAATGGAGAGAAAATGTTTTGAGAAACGATGTACAAATGCGCTTTACACAATTGATGTGTGTATGGATTGCGATAACAGTTGTATAAGCCCCTAATAAAATGTTAAAAAAAAAAAAGAGCATGGACATATATCTTCTGACTTCTATTTATGGTAGTTTCATAGCCTTTTCTTCAGAGTCGTCCTTTGGAACCTAGTGTTCAGTGGTTTGGGCCTGTTTTTTGGGTGGATCATAATTGATCGCTGTTTCTGGAGCATTTTCTTGTACCTGTTATTGTTTAGAAGGCTTCTGGGTTGTCTGGGAGTTGTTAACTTTGTCCATTAGTGACAGAAAGGGAGAAGGGAGGAAGAAGAGGCAAACGTAGAAGAAAAACAGCAAGTGAAGGGAGAAAACAATAAAAACAAGTAAAGAGGTGAGAAGAAAGTGGGAGGAGAGGCTAAAGGAAATAAAAAAAGAAAAGGTGAAAAAGTAAAATAAAAGTTTGGCAAAAAGAAAAGAAAAAGGGGAGAGAAGAGGAGGAGGAAAGAGAGGGAGGATAGAAAGGGGAGATGGAGGGGAAGTAGAAGAGAAAGAGGACTAGGGAGAAGAAGAACGAAGAGTGAGGGTTGTGTTTGCGTGCATCAGGAGGTTCCTAGCTGAAGTCAGTGAGAACACAGGTAAACCATATCAAGAAGGTCGCCCTTCCCTGTGGTGGCAAGTGGGGAGAGCTTAATGCTGCACTGAGCCAGGGTCTGGGCCAGCTTGTTTGCTGGCTGGGCATAGAAAGATCAACTAGCTGGGCTGGGTCTTACTAGCTATTGGGGCTCAGAGAGATCACTGGATCAAGCCAGGGGCTGAGCCTGAGTGCTTGATGGCTGGACACTGAAAAAACACCTAGCCAGTCTGTACCCTGCTTGGTGGTAGGACCAAGAGAGATCACTAGACTTGGGCCTGGACTTCCTTGGTTGTCGGTGGGGTTCAGAGAGATCCCCTGGCTGGGGCCTGGGGCTTCTTACCTGTGAGATGCAGGATGAGTACCTAGCCAGGCTGGACCCAGATTGCTGGTGGAGTAACTGGAGATCATTAGGCTATGGGCTGACTCTTTGCTGCTTTAGTGCCAAGAGAGCAGCCAGTTGGGTAAGGCCCTGGTTTTTGGCGAGTCTGGAGTGGA